GAAGGCCTTGATGCAAAATCGCGAAGACATACGTGAATACCACAACCATTGTCCTGAATCTGCAGCAACTTCATACCACCATCCTTGACGGTAACTTGAATTGAGGTGGACCCAGCGTCGAGGCTGTTTTCGAGCAACTCTTTTAGCGCAGAAGCGGGCCTGTGTATGATCTAGAGGTAGATTTCATCAAGATTGGCATCTGTATGTGGTTAACTTAGTGCGTACTTCGCCTGCTGCGATTCGGTTGATGAGGGACTCATGAAGTCTCCTTATTGGTCGCGGGCCAGGCGGTTCTGGAGAAGGAGAATGACGACCGCTTGCCATGCTCAGAATCGACGGTGAGAGGCAGCGCGCGTCAACGGCTAATATTAGTAACCTACTTCAAGGTTGCATACTTGAACGCGTTTCTCATTCCGTCATGTGATCCTTACTACTTCAAAAATCTCCCAAAAAATATCGTAGGCAATTCGGATACGGGGAATCGAACCCCGAGCTACCGCGAACTAGGAATGAGAGGCGGTAATGTTAACCATTACACCATATCCGATACAACAACACCATCTATCTTGCTCAATACTAGGTCCTGCCACACTCTCAAGCACCAAAATCATTGTGCATGGCTCCTTATTCATAGACTGGGGACCAACCCGTCTAATCAGGCAAGCCGTCAATAGATGGACTGGTAAATCTGGGTTTGAATTTGGATCTTTGGTTGACGCTCTGACGCCTGAGTAGTGAGGTTTTATTTGAGAAGCAAATATATTTGGATCGGAACTACAGAAGTATGGTGTGAAGACTAGGAGGGTAGTACTAAGAGGATGGGTGAGAGCGCGAAGCGCTGTCCGGCCCCGATTGAAGATCTGCCCAAGAAAAGAGGTGAGCTGTGAATCCCCGAGGTGTTAGGAGTCCGTGACGACGCATCGCAGTGACGCCGAAGAGACCCAACAGAGTTAGGAGGAGGGGACTGCTCACAAAGTATTAGAAAATCTTTAATGAGTTCTGGGCATTGAGAAGCAGAGGAAGTCTTCGTGGAGGGAAGGAATAGCTTGCATGTATGGAGCCATGATTTGAGCGTGTTTCCATAGGTACAGTTGAAAGGCATCACTAGCCCAGCGACCTTTCGTCTTGACAACTTCGAAGGGAATGTTGCGGAGAAGGTATTTGAGTGTGGAACCTATGTGAATGCCATGTCCCTGTAATGGATCTGATCCTGCAGCCTTGGCCGCCTGGGCCAGACGGGCGATGAACTTTTGCTTTGTCAGCGGCCGGTGACTGTTTTTGAAGCGATAAGAAAACAATGCACTTCCGGGAGGGGGTTTGTTAATCCTGAGATGGTCTGCCAGTGCTTGCTCAGGATCTGATGGGCCTGTTTGCCGTGCAAAGGATACATCTTCTCCCTCCCTGGAGGTCTTCGTCCGGGGAATATGAAATACCCTCATTTCAAGGTTATTACGATCGCGCTTGATGTGCATGTCCGATGGTTTGACATGAGCGTTGGGATCGAATGACGAGAGTGAGGGAATCGTAAATTCTCCTACCCGAGCGGTGCAGTAAAATGCCGTCATAAGGCATCCGAAGACTGAGGCATCTAGCAGTGAATCTAGGTTGAGGTGCTCGCGGAGAAGACAAATGAAGTCCACGGTGTACGGGCGATGTTTCTTGCATTTCGAAGAGTGAGGCGTAAGGTTCTCCGAGGCTTTCAGGAGAGTGTCTATTTGCACATTGTCGAGGGCCCATCTTACTCCGTGGAGGATGTGCCATGCTCGTATGCCGAATACGTAATTTGCGATGGTTTTGCCTGAGTATGAACCGGCTGCGAAGGCGATGAAGGCGGAGATGAGGGTAGATGAGGCCGGAGCACGATCTAATTCTGGAATTGAGCGTGAATCGCAAGTAAACGTGGTATACAAGGAGTCCTGAGCCGTAGGATTTGTGGGTGCTTTCGGCCCACGCATGACACATAACATCTTGGATGTGTGTCATGTTGTCTGCAGTTAGGGCATTCGGTTTGGGCCGGGATGAAAGGGGGAGCCACAAACAGAGTCGCTGCTTAGCGGGGCAGTGTGGATGCAGCATGGAAGGAATTGGGTTGAGGTCAGGAGGATATACTGCGAGGGTGTTAGTGGGCCTCTTGGGATTGTTGTAGATAGCGGGAGAAGACCTACTATACTTGCAACATTTGGTAGAGCTCTTCTCCTTGCCATTCGAAGATACGGTTCTTGAGTGAGCGTTTAGTGTCTCCAGTCTGGGAACGGACTTTGGTGGGTGCGAGAAACAAGACTGAATGATGGGATTTCTCGTGCTCGTTGGCGTGTAGAGGAGCGTCGAAGTTGACGATGAAGTCCCTGATGGAGGGAGGGATAGGAATGGGGGGCAGAAGAAGGGAGCGGTGAGGGTATCTCCTGCGCGAAGGGTCGTCCGTGGGGTTAAGAGTGCTAGGGACATAGCGTGTGAGGACGACGCAGGCAGCGGATTCAGTGGCATTGTGAATGCGCTTGAAGACAGCATTGGTGGGACGATTACGGCTGTGTCCTTTCCACCAGCCTTCCACAACTCCTCTGTTATCTCCATAAACCTTGAAGCAAGGGACTGGGTTGGGTTGGGAGCTTTGGATGATGCTTGCAACGAGGAACTTGAAGCCGATGGCTTCAGCCCACCCAATGTCGCGGCTGTCGGCTTTCCAGCCTGGGATGAGGCGCCATGCGCGCCACCATCCGTTGACCCAAATTGCGATTCCCACGCCTGAGCTAGCATCAGAGAAGGCGTTTGGGTCGACAACGGTGCAGGGGCCTGGGATGGATGGTTGGCGGAGGGTGGCAGACCACCACCTAAGGTCAGCGGCACAGTTCTTTGGTGGGAGTGTGAGGCACGAGAGGATGATCACCGAAGATGGAGAGCATGGCCTCCAGCTCGGTGATGTAGGCTCTTCCGGTGGGGACGACGAGAGACACGTGTAGCAGTTTTCCGTGGAGCTTCTGGACTTCGAGGAGGGTATGGCGAGGTTGTGCCTCCCAGGCTGAAATAGCTGATAGATACTTCTGTTTCTTGTTCTCTGGGATCTCGATCGAGCGTGCATCGAGACCCCAGGTGAAGCCGGTGAAGGGTGGGTTGGAACAAAATTGGGTGTCCTTGGAGATCTCCCACGGGGTGCCCGTCTGGTTGGAAAGAAAATCAATATCTGCCATGCAGTAGGAAAATTTTGCATCTTTGGCAGAGCGCAGAGATATCTGGGACAGGTCAAGTATGGGGAATGAGCAATCTTCATCATACTCTTCTGGCTGGTTGTTTGGTAGGGTAGTGCCTCGATACCATTTGCGGCCTCCATCCGTTTGAAGACCGCCCTGGTCCCGAATGCTCTGAGCCCAGCGACTTCGTTCCTCATTATACTTCTCCAGGTGTTGCCGCAGGATGCGGAAGAACAAGTGGTCGTCGACCCACTTTGACAGGGGGCCAATTCCCTCGCTACAGAAAATGTCGGCTCCTGCATCTGCAAGACCACCGTAGGATCCGGCTGCTGATGAGCACCCGAAACAGAAGCTGGTGTCGATGGCGAAAAGGTCTTCGCCTGTACGGACAACAAGGCCTGGGTACTGGGACAGGTGGAGAGGGATGGTTCTATATGCCTCTGCCACATCTCGAGTGGCAGCCTGCGAGCCGGGGGGGTAAACGCCAAATGAGCAAGCAGATGGTAGAGAATGTGCCATAAGTGCACAGGTAGAGATTTGAATCAATGGAAGAATTGATGGAAGCAATGGTACGAGTGGGAGATGCGAAGCTATGAGACAGGTTTTGGATAAGACAGAACTTTCCAGGTTTTCTGGGCTTTGGAATGATGGACAGTGGGGCCGTTTGAAATGGCCCAATGAGGATTTCCACCTCGGCCTTTGATAGAGGACCGAGGTATCTTCCTGTACCGAACTCTCGGTCGAGGATAGCGGCGAAGGCCTCAGCATGCTCGTCGATAGAGGGACTATTAGGAGGAGTATATGTAGATGTAATGATGGGAATGCTACCAGTGAAACCGTGCTGTAAAGATTTAGGTATGTGTGAATATGTACATATGAGGCCCAATTTCTTAAGTAAATAAAGCCACGCGGCAGCATGGTAGGGGGTGCGGGCATTATGCTTCCTGTCCTCGAGGACATTTCTGAGCTCCATGATCCGTGTTTCTGCATCCTGAACACTCGTGGATGTGCTCTTTGCTGGAGCTCACGCACCCATTGGGGCGTTGCCAGTCGTAGCAAAGCTGTAACCCTTGGGTGTTGACCAGACAGCCCTCTGCACTTCTTCGGCAGTAAGTGGGGGTTTTGCTGTCCAAGAGGAACTCGCTCTTGCATTTGTGCACATTGTGTGCGAAGCGGCTGAGGCATACAGCGCAGGCATGGAGGCCGGATGATGCTGTGCTGTTCTGAAAAGGGTGCTTGTCGTACGTGGGTCGCTTGGCGTCTTGGCGTGGGTGCTGACGGTTGGGAGATGAAGTGCGGGGTGGTAGGTGCCCTGACGGGTTGCGTGCAGGGGATCGAGACCGGGAATGAGTGGGGCGAGGAGAAGGGCGCGCTTGGTTACGCTGAGATGGAGTTCGGGAATCGCGGCTGTTATTGTTCGTCGACATTGCTAGTTGAAGCTGGGGTTTGGGGTGCGATATTGAATTGGATGGTGATGGTGAAGATCAGAGCATGGATGTGGGAACAGTGGGGAAGCGGTGGCATACAGGAAGCAGGTGAGAGGTTGTAGGAAGCGAGGGTGGAAGCATATAGTAAAATGGGAGCGCAAAGCGGAAGCGGGAGCACGGAGCGGAAGTGGGAGCACGGAATGGAAGCAGGAGCAGGAAGCATGGGTGGTAGCAGAGGTCAGGGTGGCAGGTGTGTGCCCAGGGGGAAAGAGGATAGGAGAGAGAGGGTTAGATAGGTGTCGCTATGCTCTAGAGTATCAAGTGTACGAACCTCAGCTAGGCTTTCTAGGCGTGTCTTGTTCCAAACTTCCTCAGCCAGGTTTCTCAGCAGCGATAGATTGAATACGCTGATATTGAAGGCGTTGTCTAGCGTGAGGGAGTCGTGCCAGTCTCTGCGGACGCGGGCGGCGTAGAGCAGTAGCGCTCATTCACCGAATGGTTCAGCACGTTGCGGGTGAGAGACGATGTTCATGAAGAACATTGTGATGGCACGCTGGTGCTTTTCGGGCCAGTTTGGTTTGTTTATGTGGAGTAAGAAACTGTTCTTGGCCATGTCGAATTGACGCCACTCGAGACTGTGGTCTTGGACCACTTTGCAAGAGGGTTTGAACGAAGCGACGGGTTTCAGAGCGATGAAGTCGTCGACCTTTGTAAAGCCGTAGGTGCCATCGGCCAATGACTTGGCCTTGTCAGCAGTCTCTTTGCAGCCGTCTGGACTGAAATACCAGAGCTCTACATACTTGAAGGATTTGAGTTTGTGGATAGCATATTGGGATGGGCGAGGAGTCAAGGTGTCACCGACAGAGGTTCCTACCTTGAAGTCGTTGATTTTTGGCTTCTTCTTCTCTGTCTTCTTGCATGCGTTCTCGGCCTCT